TTTTCATTTTTTTTCGTTTTTTTTTCGTTTCGTTTTTGCTTTTCATTTATTTTTCGTTTCTTTTTTTCATTTTTTTTCGTGTGGCATTTTGGTTTTCATTTGCTTCCTCATTTGTCATTTTGGTGTTCATTTGGTTCATCATTTATTTAATTTGTGATGTTGGTTTTCATTTGGTTAATAATTTTCTTCTCATCTGTCATTTTGGTCTTCATTTGGGTCATACTGTTTATATTGTTTCTGACAATTTCGTGTGCTTTTTTAGTTTTCATTCAGGGCTGTCTCTTCACTAACCTGTTTTACTTCCCATTCCTGTATGACAAATTTTTAGGCCACTAGGCCACTAGGCTCAGGCTTTTGGGGCCCAGTGGTTTAGCTCAGCAGCTTGCAAGTTGCATTCCATGATTTTGATCCTTGGTTTCGATTGCTCGGGAAGGGATGGGTGAGGGAATCCCTTCACGCATTTATACATAGTTTGAGGCGCTGACTGTGACTGAAGTGATTTTGGAAGCCCATAAAAATGACAGCAAAGCCAACCAGTTCTGGAAGGATGAACATGACGCAAAAAACATGATAATCCCAAAATAAATGAAAATAACACAAAAATATTTTGTAAAAAAAAATGATGATCTAAATGAAGATCTAAATGAAAAAATAATAAAAATCAACTTTCCATTGCCTGGCTGGCAAAGATTGACTTAACAACAGAGATTGAAGAACCCTATGTATAGACTTTTCCACAGGTACCCCAGTAGGATAGGAGTGTGCTACTGCAAGGTCACCCCCCCCAAAAAAAGAAACACAGACACACAGACTCTAGACTGGCACTCCTTGTGCCAAAAAATGCCCAGAATCTGCTCCCCTTGGCGTTCCGCTGCTGTCTTCGCAGCCGTCTCTTCACGTTCGTTGCCGTGTGGCTACCCGTCCCGTCGCCAGTGTTCCCGCCCAAAAAGGGGGGCCGAACGAAGGCTCGTCTGACGCAGTGGACCGACGACCGATCAGTGTTGGGAATGTGTGGGTGAACTCTAAGTTGACCTACTTGCAAGTCTGCAAGTCAACGAATCTTCGAGCAGATGGCTGGATGAATGGTGGCCCCGACTTTCTGGGCCATGAAGAAAGGACGATCCCAGACACGACCTGGACCTGGGACTGCCATGACGGACTGCCGATCAAGCCAGACCCCGGGTCAACCACCCCCCACCTGATCGGCAGTCCTATGGCAGTCCCATTGGAAGATGGCTTGGACATGACGATTTCTGCTTGGACGGCGTACCTGAAACCCCACATGGGGGCCGGAACACCGGCATCCAGCAGTTCCCTTGGCATGTCGGGGTGCTTCAGGGTAGGGGGAGTGTTGCCCACTCACTGGGATCGGAGTGAGATTTGCCACATGTTCCTTGAAACCGGGTCCTTCGTGTGACATCTGATTGTCCTTCGTGTGCCAGTTGCTCAAGCCAGTGTTATCCTATCAAAACAGAGGTCACATGGATTCGATCCATTGAATCCCTAGCCACGCCGCATCGCCGATGCCATGTTGCGATGCGGCGAGGCACGTGACGAGGCGTGGCTGGGGTTCGCTGGCCTTCATGCTCTCTACACGCACCTTGTGTAGTGGGTGTTCCGAAGCTTTTTACACGTAGAGGTAGATCATTGCACATACCTTGGAGATCCACAAATCCTCGGAGAAGGTGATGGGATAGAAGCCAATTCTAGCTGTGTCTCAGAACATGGCCGCCGAAGTTTTCGGCGCCCGCATAGATGTACCTGACAGTCAGCTGCTGAAGCTATGTTGACATCGTGAGGTGTGAGTGTGCCAATGTGGCTGTGGGATGCTGTGGGTCAACACCTGGTTTTGGCCCACAGCCATTGTGTTTCATCCTGATGGGAGCGCGATGGGTGAGGCGAACCCACGCATGTGCAGCATTTGGCTCCAGCAGACATCGCACACCGGTTCCCGCATTTCCGCGCCGAAGTCCGCAAGCAGCATGAGCACCCAGCTCGCGCAGAGAGTGGACCCGGATGCCAAGGCCGCCCCGAAGCCAGCCGATGTGAAGGATGTGAAGCCCGTGAAGGCTTCAAAGCCGCGCATCGACTGTAGCTGGTCTGAGCTTCGTGTTTAAGCGTGTAGGATCGTTTTGGTTCAGACTTCCACGAAGTCTCAAGAACTCAGAATGACTCCAAGCATCATTCTTTCACCATCCTTCACAGCTCAGGTATTGATGGGTGCCGCTTCGCGCTGGTCTTCCCCATCGTGGTGGCGCACTTTGCCCGGTTCAGCACCAGCAATTTGACGGCGCTGAAGCTTCTCACCCAAGAGAATGTCCTGGTGGGTGGTTTCTTCGTGATCAGCGGCCCCTCGGTTTCGCCACTCGCGAACAGCGAACGAAGGGTGTGACGGGTCGGCGGGATGGAGAAGGACGTCCGGTCGACGCTTCCCACAAACGTAGGGCGGAAGGATTTTAGAAGAGACTTTTGGATGGGTTTAGGGATCCAGTCGTACCTTCTCAGAAGGTACTTGGACCATCTTGGACCCCTGGCACCTACATAACAGTGTCGAACACATCACCGTACCTGAGAAAGCACGACTGGATCCCTAGATCCAGGTGAACTGTGTTCAACTTTGCTGACAAACCAACAAAGGTCGAAGAACCCGAAGCCTAACCCTATAAGACTGTGACTATTCCCTATATATCGGTACCCCAGTCAATTCGTGTCCCATGTCACGTCACAAGAAACACCCTTTCTCCAGCAGATCACAGAGCGATCCATGGAGGTGCGATCCATGGAGGTGCGATCCATGGAGGTGCGATCCATGGGTGCCCCGTCGTCACATCCACAGCCCCTGGAGGGGACGAGCCACACCACACCACCCCGAGCACTCCGGAGACTCTGAGCCGTGAACGCTGGACGTTTGACGTCGCGTTCTCCAACGGCAGAGCATGACTCTGTCGGAGAGAGAGGAGAGAGCGCGAGGTATCCGGGTTTCAAGGCGTAAGCTCCCAAACCATCCCAAACCCCAATACCTCCCAAAGAAGGGAGTGATTGTGCAAGACATTGGCACTGGCACCTGTTTGAGGCTCATTGTTGGAGGCCCATTCTTTCCCCCCCCCCCACACCTGCGGGGTTCCTCCACACGATCCACTGATCTTCGTCGCGTCACGCGAAGATAACGCGTGGAGGATATGTCTCAGCCTACACCACCACCAAGCTGGGCGCCTTGGGAGTGGAGGAGAAGAAGGTGGCGAATCCGGAGCTCTTCTTTTGGCAGAGGGTGACCTGGACACAGATTTTGCGATGATGGTTGGTTCCAATTTATGTATGTCATGCCATGTCAGTCAAAAACAATTCTCGTGCGGATGAGCTCTATTTTCTATGTTTGTTCCCTTCACTTGTGCTATTCACACCCAGGTGATGGCTTACTACCCACTGCATTTCGTATCTTCCGCCCTGTTCGCGCCCATGTTCATCTGGGTGGAGAGGAACTTCAATGCCACATGGAAGATGATTGCCTTCCGAGCCTTCTTGAACTTCAGCATGTTGCAAGCATGGTTCCCCAAGGAAGCAGAGATTTGGAATCAGCCCACCTGGTTCTTGTCAGCGCTCACCTTCTCGAATCTCACCATGCCCACCTTTGTCTTGCCACAAGTGGCGCAACTGGGCTGAACGCACCACTCAGGACGTTTGGGGTACGGCGGTGCGAAGGTTTTGAGTGATTTGTTGCTGGGTGTGACCATCACCGGGAGTGATGAGGACTTAACCCAAGCCCGTGTACACGTGGAAGTGGAGGTTTATTCATGATTCAATCGATGTCCATGTCTCGGTTGCACGTTCTTTTCCGCCTCTTTAAGGCAACTGACCAAGAACGGCTTGCAGAAGCTCTTGTTTGCTCTCACTGGCATCTCCTTGTTGCAGAAGGTGTCCTACTCTGAGACTTCTCGCTTCCACAGCCATTTTGAGCATCCAGTGGATGGAAAGGTGATGCATCCCTTGATCTGGAACCTCACCCGTTTCCATCCTTTCTGGGCTCTCTGTGAGATGACCATGGGCATTGTTGCGGCTCGACATGTGATGCTGGACACTGAGGAGGAGAAAAAGATGCAGCCGGCCAATCCTTTGTGGCTCTTCCTGGCTGCCTACTCCTCCTTGCTCCTAAGGCCAGGCATATGATGCCTTTATGATGCCACCTCCTTCCGATGGCCTTCCGAATGGTCCAGGGCACTCCATGTATCTTACCTATATCCATACCTATCCTACATTGACCCCCTTCTCAAGCACTCCAACATACTCCAACTAATCAAAAAATCAACAAGTTTCTCCCATATGATATATGTGACATGTCATCACATTGTCCCTCGTTTGGATGATCATGAATCATGCTCCCTTGGAAGCCGCTGCTCCTTCGCCCTGTCTCTCCTTTTTTCGCCGCTGCTCGCTGACTCCCACAGGCTGACGAAGTTCGACTTCAACGACGCCATCATCCGCGGCGTGCTCTTCATGCCGCTCTTCACGGAGTTCCTCACCGCCATCCATCGCGACGCCTTGAGCGCCAAGCCCTCGGCCATCACCAAGTTCTTCGGCAGCAAGACCATGGCGAACCTGGGCTCCATCGCTTTCCCCATGTTCATCGTTCATGGCCCAGTGGGGCAGATCTTCTACAAGAAGGCAATTGCCAAGAAGATTTGGGGAAAGCCCATGCCGCATGCCTTTTTCCCGTTCTATTTGGCCATTGTCCTTGGCATCAGCCATCTGGTGAACGAGCACTTCGTGAAGAACAAGAAGGTGGGTGCCATTGCCGGCAAGGTGGCCCAAACCTTAGCTGGTTGGACGGAGGGTATGTTGCGTGATCGTGCCTGATACATTTTTGAAGAAGAGGAACAATGCATCTGACAAACTAGCTGCATTGATGCTCAAAGCCGTTTTGTAAGACATTCATTTCAGTTCCTGCATGATGTGCGCGGTGTTTCACACCAAACGATCATTGCATCATTTGCATCGGGGTATGAGCTTATGTTCTCACTAGCTCGGGGGCCTGACAGAGCACCCACTACACGACGACGTTTCTTGGAAAAGGGGCTTTATGCAGAGCGACGTCGGGTGTAGACACTTGATAACACAATTTCACAATATTTTACCAAGAGTCCACATGAGGGTGTAGCAGCTTGCTGAGCATTCCTACCGGGATATGGCTGGGATCATTCGTTGATATGCTACGCTTAGCTTTCGATAGGCTTTACGTCAAAGATGGTCCGTCAAAGACTTTTGTCATGGGCCTTCACAGTGGCCAAACGTTTGATCACCTGGTTGGAGCCCTGGAAAAGACCCACATGCAACCTGAACACCACACCCGGTGTGTGAAGAAAAATCGCCTTCCAGTCTGGTCCATTCTCAGGTTCCATGTTTGATCTTCCGGGGTGTAAGGCCTGTCAAACGGAGAACAATTGGAGACCAAAGAGATCAGTCCTACGGAGTGTTTGGGTATTGACATGTTACGTCTGCAAGTCCGCGTGCATGGTCCTGCAGTCCCCACTCCCGATCTTGGCGGCTGGCGGCTCTCCGGAAGTTGTCGTCTTCCATTCTGAAGGGACTCGGAACATTTGAAGGTACCGTTGAACATTTGGGGGCAGACTGGAGGGGAACTGGAAGGTAAAAGAAGGTGTGGTGGAGGCCAACCAGTCACCAGATCCTCGGTTTCAGGGCTCCTCAGGGATCCTGACCTGAGCTGGCAGGTGGTTTGCCTGCAGAGCGACCATGATGAGGACTCCTGGTAAGGACGGTCAGGGCGAGTCGTGATGGCAGAAGAAGACCACGGCTCTGCCATTACAGGATGCCCGGTGCTCGATGTTTTTGGTGCAAGACGTGATCCAAAAACACGGTGTTCGACGGTGATGACCAAAACCTAGGATGCCGGGCTAGGTAGTGTTAAACTGAAGATTCATTCCATCAATTTGCATGCACCTGGACCTTTCAACAGGTCATCACCTGCACCTTGGTTACCCTAGGGCTCCAACCATATCCTCAGAAGGTGATTCGGTCGGACGTCCGCTTCCACTTCCATGTGGATGGAGGGATATTTCAAGGCACTTGTTCCTAATAGCTTCTTGTTACTCGTAGTAAGGCACCTGTTGCTACTAGCGATGCACTTGTTACTACTAGCGAAGGGTTTTGTCGCACAAGCCTTGTGCCTGGAAGGCTGTCACTTGGCTTGCTCAGAAAGGACCACGGGCGCCCCACGGCTTGTGCGGCTCCAGCAGAACTCCCCGCCCCAGCCGTGCCGCCACTCCCGCCTCGTGCCAGCCGCAGCACCGAGCAGCATGAGCACCCAAGCGCAGAGAGTGGACCCGGATGCCAAGGCCGCCCCGAAGCCAGCCGATGTGAAGGATGTGAAGCCCGTGAAGGCTTCAAAGCCGCGAATCGACTGTAGCTGGTCTGAGCTTCGTGTTTAAGCGTGCGCGGTGCAGGAGTGTGTGTGTGTGTGTGTGTACAGTACTTCTAAATACTTATATAATATATATGTACATGTATGGTCCTGGATCTCTGAAAGATTGCACCCGATGTACACGACCAAGCGAGAAAGGAAGTAGAAGAACGGGAAGGTGGCGGTGTGATTCAGACTTTCAAAAAATCGTAGACTCCAAATGACTCCGAGCACCATTCTTCCACGATCTTTCACAGCTCAGGTATTGATGGGTGCCGCTTCGCACTGGTCTTCCCCATCGTGGTGGCGCACTTTGCCCGGTTCAGCACCAGCAATTTGACGGCGCTGAAGCTTCTCACCCAAGAGAATGTCCTGGTGGGTGGTTTCTTCGTGATCAGCGGCCCCTCAGAGCCTGAACAGCGTGGTGGGCTACCGCATCAGGTATAGCTCTTGCGGTGGCTTAGTAGCCGGGTCCAGTGGACAGAACAAATAGAACCGGCAGGTACCGGAAACCAGTCCTAAAACATGTGTTCTGACGGTATGTGGTGCTTATTGCGCAGCAGTTGGTGCTAGGTACAGCGCTCTTGGCAGTCTGTCCACTAGGATGGTGATTGTCAGCCAGTGGCAGACTAACCCCGCACAACGACTGATCATGCGCAGTAATTATGTAGCTCCCCATTCCCTCAAGTTATGGGCACCAGAAGTCACATGAGTCACATGGAGTTGGGTGGTGTGGCTTGTCCCATGCCAGTGAGTGGATGTTTTTTCCTGGCGCGTGCCAGTGGATGACACAGGGGCGCCCCTATTCAACCTCCAAGTTCGGCGCCCAGAGCGACCTGTGACTCCTGGCAGTTTGGATCACCCTAAGCTTCCTGGCCAACCATTAAGTTAATTGGCTTTACCGTAAACAACTAAGGATTTTACAAAAAAACAGCTCAACCATGTTTTTAATGGTCTTGGAAGTCTAGGATCATGTTGGATCTGCGTCAGTCAGTTCCACCTGCAGAGACGTGGCTTTTCCACCCCACACCTGCGGGGTTCCTCCATGCAGCGGGTGCACGCGTGCGCCACGACGCGCGTCACGCGAAGATAACGCGTGGAGGATATGTCTCAGCCTACACCACCACCAAGCTGGGCGCCTTGGGAGTGGAGGAGAAGAAGGTGGCGAATCCGGAGCTCTTCTTTTGGCAGAGGGTGACCTGGACACAGATTTTGCGATGATGGTTGGTTCCAGTGTATTTATCTCATGCCATGTCAGTCAAAAACAATTCTCGTGCGGATGAAATCTATTTTCTATATGTTTGTTCCCTTCACTTGTGCTATTCACACCCAGGTGATGGCTTACTACCCATTGCATTTCGTATCTTCCGCCCTGTTCGCGCCCATGTTCATCTGGGTGGAGAGGAACTTCAATGCCACATGGAAGATGATTGCCTTCCGAGCCTTCTTGAACTTCAGCATGTTGCAAGCATGGTTCCCCAAGGAAGCAGAGATTTGGAATCAGCCCACCTGGTTCTTGTCAGCGCTCACCTTCTCGAACCTCACCATGCCCACCTTTGTCTTGCCACAAGTGGCGCCACTGGGCTGAACGCAGGACGCCGCCCCTTGGGGCCGATCCTGGTTGAGCGAGTGGTGTGGAGTTGGACTCACAGAAGATGGCAAACCCAAGGTTTTAGACCATAATGAAGAGGATTCGGATGCTTTCTTTATATATATATATATGACTACTATATATATAATATTCTCTCTCTCTCTCTCTGTGACTTGGGCCTTCAACTCTCGGGCCCGTCTTTGGATGTGGGTTCGGCACTTCGGGCAACGAACGAAAAACGCCGAAACAGCGGGGGAACTGGTCGGGTGGCCCATTCCCGCCATCGGGTGGCCGAACTCGGGGGGCCCAAATGACCCTTCTTTGTGTCCACCCTTTTTTGTTCTTTATATCCCTAGGGATCCAAGTACCTTCTCAGCAGGTGATTGGAGACACCGCTATGTAGGTTTGGAGGGTCCAAGTAAAACTCAAGGTGTTCATACCTGGACCCTCCTGTCGGGGTGCCCTGTCTGAAAGCCTAGTGCGCGGTAGTGTGGGGTAGTGAAGCGCCAGGACACCCCGACAGGAGAGTCCAGGTATAGTTAGTTTCACATGTTTCACTTTTAATGTATTCCACTTACAAAGGGTGGAATAATTCTTGGATGATCCACCTCTCTAAGGCAACTGACCAAGAACGGCTTGCAGAAGCTTTTCTTCGCTCTCACGGGCATCTCCTTGTTGCAGAAGGTGTCCTACTCGGAAACCGCACGCTTTCACAGCCACCATGAACACCCGGTGGATGGAAAGGTAATGCATCCCTTGATTTGGAACCTCACCCGTTTCCATCCCTTCTGGGCTCTCATGGAGATGACCATGGGCATTGTCGCGGCTCGACATGTGATGCTGGATACTGAGGAGGAGAAGAAGAAGCCCCAATCGAATCTTCGGCAGTGAAATGGACCGTGGACAGTGGAAACCTTTTCGTTCTTTTTCCAAGACCCAAGAGGACACAGATGAACGAAATGGACTGGAGTGTGTTGCTTTAAATGCCTTACGGTCTTTGTTCAACCGGACCTCAACAAGAGGCGAAAGTGGAGACCAATGTAGACCAGGACTTCCACAAAGGCGTTCAAAAAGTGGACGATTTCCCAATGCCTCCCTTGATGCCCAGGAATCCCTTGTGGCTCTTCCTGGCGGCCTATGCCTCCCTCGGGCTCCGGCTCACCACGTTCGACTTCAACGATGCCATCGTCCGTGGAGTGCCGCGGCAGAAGGTGTGTGCGAGCTGTGTGCGTAGCGGCGCCGCAGCGTGGCGGGATGAAGGTGTTTGCGAACAGTGCTTCCAAGTTGGTGAACATTTTGGGTGGGACATGCATAGCATCAGATTCCCTAAGGCTCCAAGTACCTTCTGAGAAGGTGTTTGGGGTGTGTTTATTCGAAGGGTCCAAATACCTTCTGAGGAGGTGCATAGAGCCCTAAAGATTATATTGATAGGATTTTGGTGGATTTCTGAGTGGAGGGTCGTCACAGAGATGCACACTTTAATAGTTACGTTTGACGCATGTTTTGGAGGCTAGCAGTTGGCTCCGCTGGGATCTATGCATGCCATCTAAATGCCATTGTGTATGTCTATACCCAGACACGACCCATGGGACTGCCATAGGACTGCCTATCAATTGACCCCCCTGGCACCACCCCAATTGATCGGCATATATGGCAGTCCCATGGAGTGTCTGGGTATAGAAACAGTATCCCCCCTTAAAATTGTGTTCTCATTTTCACCATTTTTGCCGGGGTGTGCTGCCATTGGAAGAGCTCCCACACAACCGGACCAAAGGCAACAACACCGCCCTTTGAGGCGCCAAGACCAACTGTCCAAAAATAGGTCACGCCGCATACAGACACCTCTCACAGCGCGTAGGATCTTGCTCCTAGCATCCACACGCAACGATGGCATTTTTATACAAATCATGGACCCCCGTACTGGCTTCAGGATTAATTTTGTTACTAGTACTAGTAACTTCTTGTTACATCTTGTTACAATTAGCGCTCCAACCTACTTGCGATGGCATCCACCTAATAGCGTCCGAACGCTACTACCAAGGTGCTCTTCGTGCCAATCTTCACCAAGTTCCTCACAGCAATGCATCGAGACGCTCTCTCTGCTCAGCCTTCGGCCATCACCAGGTTCAAGTCGTTGGGAGGGGAGGGGAGGGGAGAGGAGAGGAGATTGCTTGGCCAAAAAAAGACCTAGGGCTCTAACCATATCCTTAGAAGGTGGTTAGACCCCCAAAATCCACCCTAACCACCTTCTGAGAAGGATAGTGGGAAGGATTGCTTGGCCAAAAGGAAGTCCTTTTTGCACGGATCTTAGTTACGCTTGGAGGGGCTGAAAGAGATCCGGATTTATATGTTGTTTATATCTGCAGGTTCTTCGGATGCAAGACCATGGCCACCTTGGGCTCCATCGCTTTCCCCATGTTCATCGTTCATGGCCCAGTGGGGCAGATCTTCTACAAGAAGGCAATTGCCAAGAAGATTTGGGGAAAGCCCATGCCGCATGCCTTTTTTCCCGTTCTATTTGGCCATTGTCCTTGGCATCAGCCATCTTGTGAACGAGCACTTCGTGAAGAACAAGAAGGTGGGTGCCATTGCCGGCAAGGTGGCCCAAACCTTAGCTGGTTGGACGGAGGGTATGTTGCGTGATCGTGCCTGATACATTTTTGAAGAGGAACAACGCATAGAGGAACAATGCAGCTGACAAGCTAGCTGTATTGATGCTCGAGCCTGTTTTGTTCCCACGTGGGTTTGCCAACAGACCATTCGCTGCAGATTGTCTGTAGAGCTTGCCATTGCTAGAGTTCCTTCACAAGTGTGAGGAGCATGTTCCGTTCCTTTCCAAAAAAGAACGCCTCAGACCGCAGGGGGGGGCGCGCCTGTTGCGAATCATGGAGAAAACCCCTGAGAGCACCGAAAGCCAGACTCCCAGTCAGACTCTGCAGATATTTGCTTGCCAAGATCGTCGACTTAAGCTGGAAAAGCAACAACTATTTTAAGCTTCTAATATGGGCATGAGGCTGAGTCATGGTTCTTAAGCGTAGATATATTGTGAGATGTTTTGCATGGTTGGAAGATCCAGGTATGGAATACGCCCCTTGCGGGCCTCCCCTTCTGCGGAAACACCGACAGCATTCTTTCCGCCGACAGCACTCTGTTGGGACAGCATCCTGTTCACGTCCTCCTCCGCGCAGGACCACCTGGGACGGCCTGGATCCCGAGGCCAGCAGCGTCCAGAATCCTTTCTTCTCGTCGACCGGATTTGCATAGTAGGGTGATTCTGTTTATTTTGCCGAACTGGATGGCCAGCGGCCACGGACCTCGATCTTGCGGCAGTCGCAAGCCGGAAAACACACCAACTGGCTGGCCCCTTTTTCTTCGGAATACCCAGACACTCCATGGGACTGCCATATATGCCGATCAGGCCAGGGGTGGTTTGAGGGGTTAATGTAATTATGCATATATGATCAGTCCCAGTAGTCGTGTTCGGAACATGTCTTAGCTCCGTGCTGTATTCAAGCAACCTGTCAAGCTGAGTCAAGCCTTCAAGCGCCTCAAGGCCTTGGGCGATTTAGGCGATCTCGCTAGAACCGAACTCGGACCTCTCAGATGGTGGGCCGTTCCTTTATCCTCAAGGATGCCAGCAAGGACAGCCTGAACCCTGAGGGCTCCTACTATGGCATCCGCCGTGGATGGCTGGCAGTCACCGTGGTGTTCGTGGTGGGTTTTACCATCATGGGCTCTACTGGCAAGATCATCTACGACAACGCTCCGCCCATCCCTACTTTCAGGCTTGCAAGCGAGAAAACTGGCGAGCTGGGGCAGGTCCTATGGAGCAGTGAGGACTGATGGAATTTCAAGAAGTTGTTTTGCCAAAGACTGTAACATCATGCACGCACTCCGCACATGTGGTGAACCAACTCATTATGCTTACGGGTTGAAGAATCTGGGACATGAGATGGAACACATTCATTCATACCAGACGAATAATGCAGCACTGCACAAAAGCGCGGAGGATGTTTTGGAGGGCCAGCAGATTTGGCAATCCATCGGCGGACAGCAAGTGGGCTCTGTGTGGGGTCATGGTGCTTTACAGGCTCCGGATTGGTCAGCCGACTGGTTGCACCGAGAGGCCAAGATGAGTTTGGAAGAAGAGGAGGATGAAGAAAGCTACCTGGCTTGACATTAACATGGAAGATCATGGAAGTGCAGAGAAAACCACCTGCGGTATAGAGAAAAGTGCTCATCCAAGGCGCCACACTCGTGAGCCGAGTCCGGAGCCCCCAAGCCCTAGACGCTGCTAGAAGGCGACCGCAGGTAGGTTATACCGGCACCACCCGGTTATTGGATAGAAGAGATGCATCCTCAGGTTGTTCTTTTTTAGCCACCCGAAGTGGGTGGTGGTGGACCTGGTAGGTTCTGGATGCCTTCTGACACATTCTGACACATATATTCTCCCCGACAAAAACCAGCGGTTTCGGCCTAGCTGGGGGCTAGGCGTTTTGTTCCAGGTCCTTGATGAGCCAAGGTTACATTCAGAAGGTGCGAAGGAACACGTACCGCTCTGAGACCAACGAGGTGGAAATTAGCCACAAAAGGGCCAAGGCCGGGTAGTGCGCGGACATGGTCTTCGCCCGACTCAAGCTGGTCATGGAGTGTAACGGTTTCAGCGTAGACTGGATGAGATAGGTGATAGATGCCGGCCACCTGGCCATGGAGACGGGAGATCTTGATCCACAAGACTCCGCAACCTCTTCAAAAACCCTAACATTACCCTGGGAGTCCAGTCGACGATCAAAAGAATGGTCTGACGAACAGGGACCAGGTCGTTTGGGAGCTTCGAGGCTACTTCGGTCGGTCCAAATATCATCGAACTGGACTGACTTCCTAGGGTCTACATATCTACATTCTCGTCCCAGGTTGGAGGCCATCGCTTCTAGGTTGGAGCCTTAGGGTACATTCTCGTCCTTTCCCTTCAAGAAGGTCTGACGACCGATTTCCATCTACTTTCTGTGGATCAGCAGACCCAGACGCTCCATGTATGGCATATTTGCCTACATTGACCCCTGAAACCACCCAAATGTAGGCAAATATGGCAGTCCCATGGAGTGTTTGGGAGATCTTCAGGTGCTGCGGAGGCTCACCGCGTTCTACGTGGCGCTCTTCACCGGCGCGGCCGAGTCAGCGGAGGTGGAAGACTTGGTGAAGATGCGGAAGCTCTTCCAGGCGTTCTGCTGCATCATCTTGGTCAGAGTGATGGTTGGGGTGGGTCAAGAAGGCTGCTGCACCTTACTTCTGTTCGGGGTCACCGGGCTGGAAGCCCCAGCCAGCTATACTTACCCTAGGGCCCTAGGGCTCCAGTCGTACTTCCTCAGAAGGTGTTTGGGGTGGGTGCCAGGAGGGTCCAGTCATACCTTCGGAGGTACGACTGGAGCCCACTATACGACTGGGATCTCCAGTGGACACCCCACACGAAGGTCCAGGTAGGTGAAGCCGCCGCTGTGGCGCCATGTGTGCCAAAAACCACCGGAGCCGGTCCAAAACGCCGAAGAGTTTGAGCAGGATTTTGATTTGCCTGGTGGACTTGTGTAGACCGTTAGGTCGACCTACCAACTTCACAAGTCTTGAAGTGCTTGTGACGCCGAAAACCTGTGTTCATCCACACTTGGGTGGAGCGCCGGTCTCCAGAACATGATCCACACGACGAGGTGAAAGACGTGGCGCTCTACGACGAGGAGAAGGCGCAGAAGATGGCGGGTTTCGTCTTCTGGTCCGCCTGGGCCTGTGTGACTGAACGCCCGGGCACCAGTCACAGCTACACCAACAACTGGCCCCAGGAACGGCTGGTGGGCAACCGCGTGTCGCCGGAAGTCATCGTGTGGTCCTTGGCGTCTTTGGCGCTGTTGGTCTTCGGTATCGGTGTGTTGGCTTGGGTGAGGTCGGTGCATCACAGTGAGCAAGGCCAACTGCCTCCACCTGTGGAGGATCCATTGGATGACTTTGTGGTCACACCTTCCATGGCTTCCATGGTGAAGTGGGTCTATGTTGTTTTCTTCTTGAGCGGCTTTCAGATATGCTTGGGGGTGTACACGGTTCACCTCACCATCGATGGCGACATGGGCTTTCCCAACTGGATGACACAGCACATCACCTACACTGTAGCGCGCACCTGGCACACGCAGTCGGCAGTCTATGCCATCGCAACGAGCTTCTTGGCAGCGGGCCTGTTTCTGGCTCCCGTGATTGGGGGCCGCAAAGAAGATCCACCACTGCAGACGCCTGCATTCAAAATGTTTTCGATGAAAGCTATGGTGCTTCTAGCATTTAGAAAATCCATCCTACGGGCAAAACCTAGGCAGCTCCATTTAAAGCCGACAAATCTCAGGAAGCCTCTATGTGACTTCCTCTTCCTTTGCCTGTTGGTGATCGTAGCAGGTTCCATGGCCGGGCAGGTGGCCGCCATCACTCAGAGTTTTGAAAGTTTGCTTATGAGCCAATATTTTGGTCACCAGGGCTATGAGTACGTGGAACTCGGACGTTTTTACCAGTACTTCCTCCTGGTTGGCTTGATTCTGTGGCTGCTGCTCATGCTGAATGCCATCCATCCCGCGTTACGCACGGCTAGCTTTGTGAGCGCTGATGCACGGGGCCGGTGGCACTTGGTGGTGATCATCACCTGTGCTGCGGTGTTGATCTCCTTCTTTTGGGCCTCTGGGCTGATGTATGATGCAAGATCCAACTTGGCTGTCATGGACTACTGGCGTTTCTGGATTGCGCCTGGGGTGTGAGCAAGGGTGGCAAGACTATGCAAGACGTTATTTTCTGTTGAATTTGTGTCCTTGTTGGGACATGGTCATCCCACCATCCACGAAACAAAGCCTTGTTGGCGGATGGTTGACACCTTACTCAACTCACCAAGCAAACCAGGTGCACATGTGGGTCGAGGGCATGTTCGAGGTCTTCATCACCGTCGTCATCGCGCAAGTCTTCGTGTTGTTGCGGGTCTTAGAACCGTCCGCAGCGGCAGGCGTTACACTCTTCACCAGTGGGGTGTTCTTGTTCGGAGGCATCCCGGGCATGTACCACCACAACTACTTTGCGGGTACCCCATCCATGATCATGGCGATCGGCTCCTGCTTTTCTTGTTTGGAGGTTTGCCCTTTAGCCTTGATGGGTATGGAGGCAAGTGAGTACATTCTGCTGGAAAAGGCCGCGAAGAGGCCCGAGAGCAGCTGGCTGATGAAATACAAACCGATCATCGATTGCTTCATTTACGTGGCCTTTTGGAACTTGGTTGGAGCCGGCTTCCTGGGCTTCATTATCAACCCGCCCATCTCCCAGTATTACATGATCGGCGGCTATCTCACACTCTCGCACAGTCACGGAGCCTTGTGGGGCGTCTACGGCGTTTTGGCCATTGCTCTTAGCTTACTGGTGCTGCGCCTGTCCGACCTCCAGGCAGACTGGGACACAACTTGGTTGGACGCTTGGTGCTATTCTGCTCGTTCAGCTGCTTCTTCAACGCGCGCGCGCGCGAAGTGGACCGGCGTGGGGAAAGTGAGACGGAATGGGTAGGAAGGATTAGACTTTTGCACATGTAGGTTTCCCGGCCCACTCCCATCATTGAGCGAAGCTCCTTGAGCTCAAGTCATTTCCGGAGTAAAGTAGAAGCAATTTTTCGATTGAAAAGGTCTCTTCTATTATGGGTATCTGTGAAATACAATCAAGAATCAAGAGCCTAAAGATTAGGGGAAGCCCCACCCCTGGGACCTAGGACAGGGGGCTCTACTTCATGAACCTGGGCATGGTTCTTCAGATCTTTCTCTCCATCTTCCCCATTGGCATCTACCAGTTCTGGCTCTCGGTGGCCAATGACTACTGGTACCTTGGGACTGAGACAGGCACAGTAGGTAGGCCGAGTTAGAGGTGGTTTCAGGTATTTCAGGGCGGGGAGTTGAAGGTGATGCTCAAGGTTTGCTCGGAGACATTGTACATTTCAGATGTCCCTGAATTTGGGCACCTGGCGCCTGGCACGATGCCTCCTTTCTTCATGCCGCATGCTGCTTCACGGATCAGGTACGCCCGTAGCGAGCACTTCCATGGAGACCCCGTCGTGCAGTGGCTGAAGCTGGGACGTGGCCTTGGAGATTCCATTTTCGCCTTTGCCATGCTCATGGTGCTCTATTTCGTGCTCCAGGACTTCCATGCAAATGTAGGCAGAGTATTGTTTACTGTATGTTTTCTGATGCCAAGGAGCCATACATATCACATGTTTCAGGGCCTGGGAAAGCTTGGTGCCGTCAAAAGCCACCACTGTCATGCGCTCCCAATTTAAAGCACCTTCTTCCAAAAAATTAGCAGCTGCCAAGGAAGGACTGACTCCTTCCGTCAGGACTTCCTCCGAAGGATCCAAAGCTGGAGGAGTGGCCAGGTGGCCGCCCTGGCAACGAAGCGCTGGCCGCCCCTCCTTGGCCAGGGGCGCTAGGCTGCTGTCCCGCCGCCCCTCCTCGTGCTGCGGGACGTGCGTTGCAGTGACCAGAGAGTGCAGTCTCGGAGCGTCGGAGGGCGGGCGCCAGTGGGGGCTAGTAGATAGCTCAGAATAGCTCGTACATTGAATGGTATATTGTCTAGCGTAGGCGTTTTTGACCAGGGCCCCCGGTGCCAGGGGTGGTGAATGGACATCCCTTAAATTAACCGCTGGAGCTATAATTGGACACGCCTTAGGGATCTTAGGGGGCCCTGGTATGTGTATTTACATCTTTTGGGTAAGATTCGGTAGGATTTGCCGAGCCGGGTGGATGACCTGCTCAGCACAGCGTGTACAGCTGGGTGATTTCTGTGTTTCTTTTGGAGCCTGATGGATTCTGCTCAGCACAGGTTTAGTTTCCCGTGTTTCTTTTGGGTGCGCATTTTTGTCTGAAGGCAGGAGTACGGAGTGCCCTGCACGATGAGTGCCCACGTTCTGGGCCAGCGCAGCTGAAAAACTGACCGCCAGCTTGAACACCCCTTCTGAGTTTTTTCCTCAGCACAAGATGCAGAAAAGGGCAGGAAACCTCCGGAAACTACCAGGAGCCGCAAGGATTTGTTTTGCTCGATTCATGGTGTCGTAGTGGTGAACGATGTTCTCGAACTAGGCTGGTTTCGACCAACGATTGAAAGATCCAATAAGCGCAGCGAAGAATCTTTTGATTTTGATCCACACGTACTTCATATCAAGTACCTGATTTGCCTTTCCTTTCCAGAATAGGTGGTGCACGCCGGTCTTCTCTCCCCCCCGAAGAGTGTAAATTATAATAAAGCTGTTTGTTTGAGAGTCTCAAGAGTGGCAGTCTTGAGTCACACAGGTCATCAGCTCCAGATCCTTCATCATCTTTCGGGTAGTTTTCTTTGGTCTCCAGGTGGGTAGAGCCGTTTTGCACCCCGGAATTTCAGAATGACTTGGATGTTTGCTGTTGAAACAGCGGTGGGGAGCTCCAGTGCTCCAAATTCTCCAAGTTCGATCATTTTGGTCAGTGAGACAAGCAGAATGTGGCCATGTGCACATAGTGTATGACTATATAGGTATATAACTAGAAACCCCACACTAGCAGTACGGCTGGAGTGTATGACTGGTCAAACTAGTCAGTTCCATATTATTAGTCCTATAGAGACTGGACAGCACGACAAACTCCCTACGGGTGACGGACAGGTGACGAACACTGGCAGCTGGAGGACTGCGATGATGAGGCAAAACCCCGCACAGGCCTGTGAGAAGGGCATCGTTTCTTAGGAGCTGCCCACTTTCCGGAACTAGAGGATTGATTTGCGTGGTTTCCCTTGTTTTTGCGGACATCGTGGCTGTTTCACAAGCAAACAATGATCAACAAACCACGTGTCACAGAGCTCGGGATGGTGTCGAGTCCCATCCGTTCGGGCCCCGAACGATGTGACGACGGGGCACGCCCGGTGCCTCCTCTCCTCTCCTCCGTTCGGGTGCCCGGCGCCCCGAGCCACCGGTGACTGCGATGGAAAGAGCGTCCCTGAGCGATGGACGTGTTCTTTGTTTTGCCCAGCTCTCCCCCCGTTCCGCCCCCCCGAATCGGAGCCAAGTTAGCTGATGTTGGACGTGGCCGATGTCTGCGCACGTACGTCTTGCCGATGCGGTGCAGCAAGGCAACTGAAATGAACATGCCAGCATCTTCAAAAGGATCACCTGGCTGGAAGCCCCTACAACACTTGGGGATTTGCATCGGATACCCCCTTGAAGGTCCAAAAGCTAGCGATTGAAGCAACTCAAACCTTAAGTTGCCTTTGCATGCGGCTCCATTCTCGTGAAAATTGGATGAAGGTGCTGGTAGTGGCAACAAGTTTGACCTTGAACTATGCATAAATACATGCGCCTAAGTAAACAAGGTTCCGCTCATGCATGCAATGTGGCAGTGCGAGGTATATCAATATATACCGCCTTATACTTTAAGCCTTATACCGCCGTATGCTTTGTAGATGAGCTTACAAGACACCAGAAACGGAAGAAACACCAGACCCCAGAATCGGAATGCTTGAAGCCTAGCCCATGAAAAAGGTCCCCAACAACAGAACTGACCGGATGGCCGTGTGATGGCCGAACGGCACAGAGGGCCGAACTGACCGGAGGAAGAATTGGCGGATCGGCGGATGGCACAAGACCAAGAGCTCGGCCGAAGCGGCGGCCGAACTGACCTGTTTTGCGCTTGAAAGCCGCTGGCTGATCGCCACACCGAGTCCGTTTTCTCCTTGTCAGGCACCAACAAGGAGCTTTTGCCATATATTAATGTTGCATCCATTTCGCAAGTTGCCTGTTGTTGGTGTCATGGTGGATGAAGTGGCTGCGCAACTTTTGATCGCTTGTGAAAGCGCCTGTGGTCGCCCGTGTCAGATGAAATGCTGCAGGTTCCTGGCTTCCAAGTGTGCATAGGTGTGCTGATTTGCAGCTGAGACAGGGTCAGACATCGGCATTTATTATATATATAGGTGTGTGATTATAGGTGTGTGCCCTGTTTGTTTCAACATGTTTCAACATATCCATTCAACGATCATGAAGTGCACAAGGCCTTGGGATCGGATCAGCAGTTGTTGCCATGCCAAATTCATTCGGTGCGCCCTGCTCCCTGGCACTGGTCCTTTGCCTTTGTGTGGGTGCTTTGGGCGTCCGCCCTGTGACAGACACTGATGCGATCGAAGCGAAGCAGATGGAAGAGCATCCAATAGAGAAGACCAAGTCCGCGGAGGACAAGAACTCACACGCATTGCCTGAAGCGACACTGTGGCGTGAATTTGGCGCTGAGGAGCACCACGTTTTCAAGGCAAATGCGCTGGCTTTTCAAAACCTAGATCAGTCAGAGCAATGGCGCCTGTACGCATCATCCAATTGCAGCGCAGAGGAGGTGACATCCTTTTACATTACGATTTACATGAGCGACCGAGCTAATTTAGCAAAGGCACCGGTTCTTTATGTTGCCATTGTGACTTAACCTGACCGGGCATCAGAACTGAGTGGGCTAGAGAGCAAGGAAATCTCGTCACAACTGGAATGAGCTAGTCTCGGATTGTTGTGGCACCCTCCGACTCACTAACATAGAGGTGGAAAACTCTTTTTGATGGTAGATGATGGTAGAGAACATGTAAATAAATACATACCCATGGGCCATTTTCCACTTTCATGTGAGTCGGAATGTGCTTGTTTTCCACGAAGGTCAGACTGATCCTGTTCACCAGTCCAATGTGACACTCCATGTGGACAAGAACCTTCCCTGGGACACCGACATTCTCTACGCAGGGGCGCAAGGTCTTGGCCGCTGTTTGGTGTTCTTGCGGCGACCTCCTCCAGATGCACCAGTCATTGAGATGTTGAAGAAGTTGCCGCTCGGGAGAAATCGGTGATGCATTTGGGTGATCGAATAGGTTCCTGCCGCAGCCGCTACCCCTGATGTGGTGATTGGGTGGAGAGGTGTGTCCTCGGACTGCCACCTGCATTGAGTATGACCCTGCGGGGTCGTTCTAAGCCAAGCCAACAAAGCCTAACAAAACCTACAGATGTAGCATGACTTCACAAAGGGTTCATGAGTTCATGGATCAGAGGGGCAATCGATTCTACGCGGCTGCCAAGGCCAACAGTCTTCCAAGACAGAAGGCTACATGCATTTCTTGCTCTGCGCAAGGATGCCAGGATACACTTCGAGGTGGCCTTTGCTCTGGTCGTGCTGCTTGGTGCCGTCATACTCGTGTGGTCGCTCCGGATCACCGTGAAGGCATTGAAGGATCGTCGTCATAGCTGGGGCTTAACAGATGAGTCAGACTTCAGCCAGTCTCAACTTCGGCCTCCACAAGCCGCTGAGATTTTGAAGAGAGCTTTCGCCAATATTGTCTACTTCCTTCTGGGTTGCGCTCTTTTTGTGGTGGAAGGCCAGCGATTTTTTTCGAAAGAACCTGGACGATAGCGGCACTGGCTACATCATGGTCCTGGTCTTTCCCCTGCTCTTTGGCTGTGCTGGTGTGCTTCGCATTTTTATGGCCGCAGCGCGCTCGCATTTGTACTTCTCCAGCTTGCGTCATGGCTTGCTCTTGGAGCTGCGCGTTGTCAAGCTCTCAGGCGAGCACACACAAACCACATTGCTCTATTTGCAAACTTCCGCCCGCCGCCGCCGGAGAGTAGTTTATGGAGGCTTCAACTAATTCGGTGCATCATAGACATCATCATCATCATCATCATCATCATCATCATCATCATCATCATCATCAT